TATATATACACACACACACACAATAATTTTGTTTAATAACTCATCTTTTGCATTACTTAAGTCATTTGGCATGATATATAATCACAATACGAAATTTTCGAGGTCACTTATTGCGAATATCGTTCAAACGTTAACTCTTTAATAAAATAAACAAACTTTATATATCTAAAGAAGTACGTTGGTACATGTATTAGTTAATTATTAAAACACAAAATCAAAACATTTTAGGAACAATTATAACTTGTAATTTTTTAACTATTAACCCGTAAATCTTGCCAATGTTGTCTCTTTTTGACCTGCCTCACAAACGTCACAATTCAAACAACTGCAGCATGGAAATTGTTTTGCATTTGCCCAATTTTGATGAGCTACGTACCATTGTTGGGTATCCTAATCGACTCCTAACGGTCAAATAATGCTGCCTTTTTTTATTTTATTTTATTTCTTTCCATTCTGCCTCACTTTTCCACTTCTCTCGAATATTATTTTGAAAATATAATTTGCATATTGAATTAAATCAAAGATAAAAAATTTATTGTACTTTTACTTTATTGTGGAAGGATACAAGGGAACGATAAGGGAAAAAATAAGAGTAATGTTATTGTTAAGTTGTTAAACTTAATTTATTGTCACTATCAAGAGTCCATACGCGAGTCGAAATTGAGCCCCAGTTTTTTAGAATAAATTATGTTAAAAAGTGATTTTTTATTATTATTATTTTGAATTTGTAAACTAAGAAAAATTTTGTGAGTATATGTGATTGAAAATGAATTTCGGAGAAAAATGAGTTTTAAGAATGGGGTTCATTAGAAATTTTACATTTATAATTTTGATTTTACTCGAATTTTGCTTCTAAATAGGAAGCTGTCATTATGTTTTTTTCATCATCAAAAGATGAGAGATATTAGAGAAAACAAGGTGGGATTTTTCTTTTGTAAACTTCTTTACATCATAATGAATTAATGCAATGACGGATGAAATGTAATCTCACATCGGAAAGAACATCTTTAAATCTTGCATATTCTTTTGTGTGTGTGTGTGTGTCTATATATAATATATATATATATATTTTTTTTTTTTTTTTATGCAATATTACTTTTTTTATTGTATAGAATTAAGGTCTCTAATTCTCAACATTTATATTAAGATTTTGTAACGAAAAACTTGTTTATGTAATTCAAAAATTTAATAGTCTCTTCTTCTTCGTCATCATTCTTAAACAATTTTATCTCGACAAAAAAGTGGACCTATAGTGCACCATACCTATATAAAACTATAATATTTTTAATCAATTTCTAAGATTTACAGCTTCTTTTTGACAATGTACATATAAATGAGTTAGGCTTTTATCCAATTATATTGTCCATTTTGGTCTTAACCTTTTATTTATTTATTAGCTTTTCAATTGTTTTATAATTTTCATTTTGGAACATTGCATTAGATTATATTTTGGATTTCTAGATTCAATTACAAGTTTGTTTTGCTTGCATGTACTCGATTTATTGAACTACATCTCGAGAATAACCACTTATATCACAAAGACGATAATTTATTTCTTATTAGTTCATTAAATATTTACAAGTCAAATAATGGGAAATGTATAAAGTGACTTCTACGTAATATGCTCGTCATAATTGTCCTAAGGACCTTGCTGGACTTACAAGGAAAAAAACTTACAGAACATTTACAGACAACTCATAAGTGGGATGAGTGGATGATTTTGGCATTTTATTACACATAGGGCCCACACATTGTTTCTATTCTGGAAGACTTCAGTGAGGTGGAATTCTGTACATATGGAATTTTCCTTGTACTAAAGCAAACATTATTCTCAGAAAACCTTTATTGGAGACTAGAACGGTGATATGAAGAGAAACTTCCGATAAAATATTAATTCAATAGAGCCACTCAATTGAAAAAATTTAATGTCACAGACATCATTATATAGATTGTTTAGAACTTTATACACATAGTGCCTGTTTGAGCCACATTATTTCATAAAAATACATTCTTAAACAGTGATTTGATATCATTTCAATCACACATTCTTTAATAAAATAATATTACATGCAAATAAAAAAAAATTCCTTATTTTTTAACCATATTTTCCATCAATACACTATTCAAGAATGCATTATTACCAAAATAATGTGGCTTAAACACCCCCTAGATACAAACTAAAAAACATTAACATATAACGTGCTCGTAACAAAGCAAACATGTTCATGTGATTAATATCAATTTCACCATGAACATTTATGGACAAGTTTGTAGTATGCTTGAAACTTGAAAATGGCTTTAGCTTCACGGCGGTGCAGTGTACCGGTGGGCTGCTGTCTAACACGTTGATTTTTCTTTGGTCAAACTATTCTATCATTTTTCTTGCTGACCCATCAAATCCGCCTGTACTCCCAAATTCAAACCAATATAATTTATTTCCATTTCATATTTCCAATTTATGATAAAGGAAATTTTGGTTCATATTTGCGCAGTGATTTTGGCTCTAAATCAGTCCATTTGTCAATAGTGAAAACTTTGATGGTTAATGTTAAATTTGAAAAATATCAACATAATATAGAAAAAAGAAATATGTGAGTACCAAATTTATAAAGGAAAAATCAAGTTTATAGAAGGGTAATCAATAAGTTCTTTAATTACAAGTACAAAACCTGATTCTTTTCTTGTGTAATATTATTTGAAAGGGTAATTGGCACAAAACGTCCATATATTTCATTTTTTGGCATTTTCATCCTTGTCTTCCACATTTCTTTGCGTCGAATGTCCTTTTAACCATTTTTAACATAAAATGATCAAAATACCCTCCCATTTAAATAAAATCAAATATAAAATAAAAAATAAATTACAATCTTACTCCTAAATACTTTAAAATGTACGAGTGAGTCCAAATAATTATTAAAAGACTTAATAGCACAACGTCCCTATGTTTCAAATAGGTGAAAATGATGTTTTCCATAATAAAACGTGGAAATAGGAATGAAAAAGCAAAAAAATTGAAACACAGGGACATTTTTCATAAGAAGTGTCAAACGTAAGGATTTTTTTACCATTAGCCTTATTAAAAAAAATAAAAACTTTCTCTCTTCTCTTCTTCTCCAAGTGGAACTGTAACGTTAAAAATGAAAAAACTCTGACCAACCATTGTCCAAAGTGCCGAACCTCCATACCGCTGAATCATCTGTAAATATTTTAAAACCATGAAGAGGGCGCTCTAGTGAGTATTGTCGATTGGTATGTTGGAAATGGCATGGGTCTCTCCGGAACAGGAGATGCCGTCAGTATTTGCATTCACCAGTTGGGTATTTTGGCTTGGAATTTCGAACAAATCTATTGGCATGAAGGTTTTTAAGATTGGATGTTGGGTGATATGTGTCAAGAGCTCAGGCTTTTCGATGGTATGATAGTCTAGCAGTTTGGGTGGTGCTGATTTGCTAGAGCTTTTTGGCTTCCAGCCACACACACACATAGATAGATAGAGAGTTTTTTTTTTAATATTTTAATAAAGCCTAATAGCAAAAAACATGCATACGTTTGACAGTTCTTGCCAAAAAGGTCTCTTTGTTTCAATTTTTTTGCTTTTTCATTCATATTTTCATGTTTCATTGCGAAAAACGGCCTTTCACCTATAAGAAACATAGGGATATTTTGCACACTATAGGCTAAACGTTGGGACATTTTATGCTATTAGGCCTTTTAATAATTATTGGGACTTATTTGCACTTTTTAAAATATTTAAGAGTAAGATTGTAACTTATTTTTTATTTTTCTTTTCTTTTTTTTTTGGTTTTATTTAAATGAGAGGGTATTTCGGTCATTTTACGTTAAAAATGGCGAAAATGACGTTCAGCGTAAAGAAATGTGGAAGGTAAGGGCAAAAATGTCAAAAAATGAAAGATGTGAACGTTTTCCACAACAAACTGGAAAGGTAGGGACGTTTTGTGCCAAATTACCCTTATTTAAAACATAGTTATTATCGGCTCAAATAAACTCATCAAAATCTAATGGCAAGACAACTTGCTAATTATGTATCTAAACGACCAATGTTAGTTATTTCGTTTGTCCTAGTAACTGCACTTGACCAATCAACAATGTCTTGCAAACAAACAAACAAAAAAAGATGGGTACTTGGGCTTGAGCCCCTATGTAGTGTAAGAATCAATTAACAATTTTCAGAACGAAGAAAATATGAGAGTATATTGAATTATTTAAAGTAACAAGACATCAAATTTACACTTTTGCTTTGAGTTGGACTCCCTTTATATAAGTTTCAAAATATAAAGGGTGTTTGGTGAGAATTAAAATTAGCTTTTTTCAATAGATTGTGGTAGAAATTTTTGTGGTTGAAAAGTTGTGGGACCCATGAAAGATATGGTTAATATTGATTATTTGACTTTAACTTAAATTAAAATCCAATTTTAATCCAAACCAACTATGCTCATAGTAACGTGTCCAAAGTTAGCTACGAGCACATGAGATAGGCGTCTTAGGGTTTCATTGATATCTAGCAAATATTATGAAAATACAAAGATTCCAAGATAAGTCTCTAGATTCTTTATGTAAGACCCTATTACTAGATGAGTTGTTCATCATGTTATTTGGCCAAGATGGCACCATCGATCATGTTCCGACTTTATGGGTCGAAAGGATGAGGAAAACATATCGTCTCTTAGCCCTTGTTTGACTCCATTATAGTGAGATTTTTTAAAATAATGTATTTTCGAATAACAATTTTTGGGAGAATGTATGGTTAAATATGAAAGAAAAGTTTTTAATTTACATGTAATATTATTTTATTAAAGAATATGTGATTAAAAAAAACATATATTAAAATTTTAATGGGTCAAACAGAGGCTTAATCGATCATTGCTCCTCAATTGGTATAGGCGTGGATCGTTGAATGGGCCACGTTTTTAAACTGATAGTTTGCGCGTTCTTGATTGGACGCTATACAAATAGGTTTGAAATGTCGTCCAAGCAAATGCGTGTAACACCTCTCTCTTTCTCTCTTCAAAATCGAAATTCTGAATTCTGTCCATTTTCACTCGCGAATTATCACGGTAGAAATAACAGGACAATTACCCAACATTTAATAGAAAAAACTGCGTTAACTTCAATACATTACCTCCTACCAATATCAATTGATCCCTTTAATTCTTCATATTCTTCCTCAAGTCAAACTTCTCATCGTCATCATACTTTTTTGTTTTCTTTTGTGGAATTTTTTGATAACTTGTTAATGAATCACTTCTTTCCAGGTATTTTTCTAGCAGCATGCTTAATAGTTTTGAGCGTCATTCGATCCCGCCCACAGATACTATGATTTCTAGCCAAATATTCATCTGGGTAGTTTTCTTTTTAGTCCTTTCATCAGCTGCAGAAGCAAATAATTGTAATCGATCTTGTGGAGAAGTGGAAAACAAAGTGCCTTACCCATTTGGATTTTCTGACGGTTGTAAAATCAAGTTAAATTGTAGTGAAAACGAGATCCATATAGGCGATTTTTTGGTCCAGAGTTTAACGTCGGATAGTATCTTGGTTAGTCTTCCGGCAACATGCAACCGTTCGATTGATGCACTCAATCCACTATTCGGTACAAACTTTGCGGTTACTGGACGAAATGGACTTCTGCTGCGGAACTGCAGCCAGCCGGTCGATGATTTTACCATTCCCAGTAACTTGATTAATTCCTTTTTCAACACTGATGGGTGCGATTTTGAGGATAGAAACAGTAGTGATAATTATAATCACAATATAAGTTATTATGCAGAGGCAAAAGATGGTTATGTGGAGTTTTCGAACTATGAAAATATTAGAGAAAGGGGTCATTGCAGCTTTTTATTTTCGTCGATCATGGTGAATTGGAATCAGAATGGAAATAATAGTTCCATTATTGTAACTGAGAACTCCTCTATGCCGGTGGAGGTGCAGGCTCAGAAGGTGGAGCTCGGGTGGTGGCTGCCGGGCGTCTGCAATTGTGATCCAAATGCTAACTGTACACCGGTTAATGGGACTGGGTTTCGTTGCAAGTGTCAAAAAGGATATTCCGGGGACGGTTTCGCCGAAGGGGAAGGTTGCAAGAGAGGTAAATTCTTCATTTCTGGAAATTAATTTTAATTGAATTATTTAATGGGTTGTCACACGGCTTTACACCCCTTCACATGGAGGGGGTCCATATGTAATAAAATATTCGTGACCCCCCTCCACGTGAGGGGGTGTAAATTTTCCATATTTAATTGAATGATTCTGCAAGTACAGGTAAATACAGAAAGAATCAGTACAGGATAGCACCTGTATGGCTGTTTTTTTATTTGTCATCCTCCAATAATAATTTGCCAAGTGTCCATCTGTATGATTTCTATGAAAAATTTTCGGTACCTATAGCGTTGTTAAATTTGATGGTCAAGGGGGTGTATTATATTGATGGCCTAATTGCATGTCGACTTTGGCAAAGTGCCAAGTTTATGCTATGAGAATTGGGATATGAAGCCAGCTGGATATTTTGTCGAACCACGGGTATTCAAATGTGTATTTAATAATTGATGAAGATTCATTGATCACAAATGACTTAGATTTTTAATAAACCATAATCTTTTGGTGCTGTTCATATTGTATATGGTTAGATCATATAAGGGGGACTGGTATAGCGGGGATATTTGATCTGTTAAACTTCATCTTGATCATAAACTAACAATAATTTAATCTATAGTAGATGAAATAGAGTGATGAAACAGAAACACCAAAATATACTCTTAAGACAGAGCCTGGTTTCGGATATTCCGGTGAGTGATTGGTGAGGAGACTAGTCTTCAGCTTCCTTCCTTGAATTTCCATTGTTTAACTTCGGTAAACATTGACGGCTCAGATGATTTATTCAAGGAGAGCTGTATACTGGGGATTTGAATATGCAATATTTACTAATAAACAATATAAAGAAGGGAAAGGAGTTTGACTTTGGCCTTATTGATGATGCCATGTTCTAAATATAATTTGCAATTTATATTTGGCTTTCTTTGGGCCATTGCATAATCTCAAACTATTCAAACTAGTACAGTTTAGAATTTTGAAAAGTTTCAATGTTGAATGTGCAAAAGTCAAGAGGAAGAAGATATGGATTGCAGAACGTTCTCATGTTCTTTTCTCGACTTAACGATAACCGACACAAGCATTAGATCAAGCAATCGGTCGTATCCATTGGAAACTTTGGCACGAGATATCCACAGAAGTGTTAGGTCATATTGCAGATGTTACATTTATGTAATGCATGACAAATCAGATCTTTTCTGTGTTAATGAAACTATATGTCTAGAACTAAGTTATTTAAACACTTGTGCTTTACAGTGTACCAAATGTAACTGAGCCAAACGCTTGAAACATGCTATTTTAGGAATAGTAACTTTAAATGATCATTTTGAGTTATTAAGCCTGTCTAACTTATATGAACATATAGTTAACCGCAAGTTTATATCTGTCGAAATGGTGTTTTGACTAGTATAAGAATTTATAACATCATGCTTTTATTTTCTACTGTAACTTTGTTGAAAAATTGTATATTACCATTATATTCTTCAGCAGCGATGAACAACAGGGTATAGAACCTTGATTTTGTTGCATTTAATTCCATATATATGATGTCTGTGACATGCATTAAAGGCTCCCTTAAAACTGCAACTAGTTATTGCTAGCTTTAACTTCCATAATACATTTATTTTTATTGTGCTAATTTCTTCTGTTGTCTGTTGATCGCCATGTACCAGTTTCTGGAACCAAAGTTGGCTTTCTCATTGGAGGTACTGTTTTTAACTGAGTTCTTCGTTTCTCTTTCTAGAAATATATGCTCGTCACTTCAAGTCTTTCTTCTTTACAGTGTCAAATTGCTTTAGGTTAATACTCCTTATTTTATCGTTCAATTATTCTGTTTCTTCTTCTTACTGCCTATTTCTTGCGCCATTTTGATTTTGCATTATTCTTTGTCCTGGATCAGTTTTTAAGCTCCTCAGCACTCTAAAATTTTGAGAGTGATTAGATTTTGAAATTTAATGTTACAATTGCTTGAGTTATTTTTTATTGCTATCACGTCATCAATTATATTCAAGATCAGAAAGATTTCCACACTATTTTTTCTGCCATGTGATTCTGGTTTCAGTAAGAGCTTCGTTTTCCCCATTTTCCACAAAGCCATATTTCCTGCTAGTGCTCTTGACTGTGGATTTATCTAAGTTTCTTCAATATTTTTTTTCTGCAACTACGTTTACATTTCAACCTCATTCAGATAATTATAATTCTCATGCTTGTCTCAACACAGCTACAGGGAGATAATATAAGTGTTGGATCCATAACGTGGTCAAGTGTCCTTGGTTGTGCATAAACATAATTAAAGAACCTTTACTTTATTCAAATTAGGCATCCCTTTTCAGGCCTTATTCATGCTTTGGCTTATTTAATGCCACGTCACTTGATTCAAATTAGATGTCCCATTTCAGGCCTTATATATATCCATACCCTACCGTCACTCTTTAAAGGTGATTAGAATTTTTATTCTTTTCTAAGATAACAGCATTGTCCATTCTGTTTGATTTGCAGGGATCGTTGCTGGAGCTTCTTTAGTGACTGCTGTGGCTTTCATGTGCTACTGCAAAAAGAAACGTTCTGCGTCTCTGAGGAGCCAATCAAGTACTAGGCAACTGCTCAGCGAGGCAGCAGGCAACTCCAGTGTATCCCTCTATCCTTATAAAGAAATTGAGCGAGCAACAAACGTCTTTTCTGAAAAACAAAGGCTGGGAACGGGTGCCTATGGCACTGTTTATGCAGGAAAGCTCCACAATCATGAGTGGGTTGCAATTAAGAAAATGAGACATCAAGATCACGACGGCATTGAACAAGTATTGAATGAAATCAAGCTTCTGTCCTCTCTGAGTCATCCAAATTTAGTCCGCCTTTTAGGTTGCTGTATCGAGAATGGTGAAGAGATTCTTGTTTACGAATATATGCCAAATGGAACTCTATCCCAGCATCTTCAAAGAGAAAGGGGATTGGTATTGTCATGGAATATTCGTCTGACCATTGCTGCTGAAACAGCTCATGCAATTGCTCACCTTCATTCAGCAATGAATCCTCCAATATACCACAGAGACATTAAATCTAGTAATATACTCCTAGATTTCAATTTCAAAGCAAAAGTGGCTGACTTTGGTCTTTCAAGATTTGGCATGACAGATGATTCCCACGTTTCCACAGCACCACAAGGGACGCCTGGCTATGTTGATCCTCAGTACCATCAAAACTTCTATCTTTCAGACAAAAGCGATGTTTACAGTTTCGGGGTGGTTCTTGTAGAAATCATTACAGCAATGAAAGTAGTTGACTTTTCTCGACCTCACAGCGAGATTAACTTGGCTGCACTCGCAAGTGATAGGATTGGGAAAGGCCGTGTTGATGAGATAATAGATCCACTCCTAGAGCCAAATAGAGATGCTTGGACACTCTCATCCATTCACAAAGTGGCAGAACTGGCTTTTAGATGTCTTGCATTTCACCACGACATGAGACCCTCAATGATGGAAGTAGCAGACGAACTAGAACAGATCAGGATCAGCAGCTGGGCACCATCGGATGAAAATGTATGTACGGGATCATCAGTTACATCCTTGAGCTCATCACTGCACAATGGAAGTGAGCAATCAGTGAATGCTACAGCAAAGAAGGCAAGTGCAGGAAGTCAGAGATTGATTGGTCTGCAGAGGACAGATGCCGGCTTGGCTACAATGGAGGAAAAAGACAGTTCTCCGGTTTCTGTCCATGATCCTTGGTTGAGCGAGCGAAGCTCACCACCATCAACAAATAGCTTATAAGGTAATGTAGTTCAATGACCATAGAACTATTTCTTTCAATCTTAGCTTCTTATGTATACAGTACAGACATGCGTGGATGCATGTTTTGAGTACAGAAAAGTTGTCATATTAAACCACCATGTTTCTGTATTTGACTTTCGAACCTTGCTTTCATGCTACATATGAGAGATTTCATCACCGTGCTAAGCATTTGTTGGGAATTATGGTACATTACTTGTATTTAAGAAATAGCAATTTGATTATCAACTTTTTATTATTATATTTGCGCAAATAGTTCTCAATAACTAGTTTCATCAGAATATTTATTAAATTGTCATATAATTTTCTTATAAACGTACCAATGAATGGACGAACTTTGCTAGAATTTCAAATTTTCGAATTTTAAAGTTGTTTCCTTTTTTTTTTTATCTTTGTTACGTAAACATGGCTCTATGTTAAAAAATACTATTTTGTTTCATATTAATATCTTCTAATATATTTGTGATTTTATTTACGAATGTGACTTCAAGGAATCCAATGTTAATTAGACTTTGGTATTGACTACCTCATCAAGTCCAAGATATTTAGGAGTATTTTTCATAAGCAAAATTAATAATATATTACCTATTTTCTTGCACATAATTTGAAAGGTCCCAATTTTCCGTGCCTTCTCTTTTAATTAGAGAAGGACTTCAAGAAAAAGGCTATACGTCTAGGAATGACAATTTGACTCGAAAAATTGGAGCGGGACAATTTCCAGGCAGGGTTTTGTTGCCCACCTTATTATTTTGTTACTTAAAGAAAAGATTCAAAAATTATTTGTCTTAGCCCAACTTTTTATTTGCCTTGGACAGTAAAATAAAAAGCTTACTTTTGTAATACATAGCTTACGTGTTTCTAACCATAATTTGATAAACTTTGTCATTAACATGCGAATAGACATAAAAATATAAAATAAATTAGACCTGAATGATTGTAAATATTTATTAAATTTTAATAAAAATTAAGTTGTGCAAATAAAATTTCGTTTTATTAACCTGAACCCTTTTCCAAGAATTAAAAACACGTTTAAGTTTCTGTTACGCCCCTATCTGAATCGCCTCGGAATGCCCACCACCACACATTCCGACCCGATAGACACCCATCCGAAATGTTTTCGAAGTGATCTCACAAATGTCAACGACCTAATAACACACTGCGAGATATAGGCGATCCTGCTAAACTGATCGAAGCGCCCTTGCCCCTGAGGCCCAGGCGAAGTGGACCTCTGTCAAAAGAACCGCCGCCAATTTCAGAAAGAGATTTTTGCCAAGATCTTCTCTGCACCTAAAGTTTAAATTGATTTGACGTCTTCATGAGGTTAGTTGATGTGACTTATCAACTTTATGTCAACTTAATTCGGGAGAAACAAACTACCCGCCCACTCTACAGACGCGGCTGATTGACGCTTATGAGCGGACGTCTCATACCGTCAGATATATACACGTGTCCCACATCCAACGGTTCATCCCACCTATAAATACCCAAGGTTTGGCAAGAGGCAAATGTAATGAAACTCTTACTACATAGCACTCCATAGCATGTTTATATATTTTCTCCTCCCCCTTAGTGTTTTTGACACAACCTCTGGGTACTGTTCCGACCACCCGAACCTGACTTGACCATCGGAGTGTATACGGCCGCCGCCACCCCCGTTGGTCCCAGCCGTGTGCGTCTGACCGTGCGTTGATTGTGCGTAGGGAGGAATACGTGGAGTAACTATCGATTGACCATATGGAAGGTCCAATTTTCGAGGTCAACAATTTCCTCCATTGAATCCAACTACTTGTAACTCCTCCAATCATTTTCCTCCCACATACTTTATTTAATGCCTCTATTAGTTGGTTTAATTTATCGATGGATAAAATTGAGTGATAGATAAGTGAATAACACTCATTCGCCTATTAAAATATGTGAGTAAAAATGAAATTTAACTATTTGTAAATGGGTTAATTTCACAAACAGTCACTGAACTTACGCGAAAATTACAAAACAATCACTAAAGTCAAAAACTTTTGGTAACGGTCACTTAAGTTTCGGTGCGCTTTCAGAAACGGTCACTGAAGTTTAAAAATTTTCAAAAATGGTCACTAAAGTTTAAAAATAATTTTTTGGACTACTTTTGCGACAACTTTTGACCATCAAGATGACCGGATTTTGATACCGTTGGAAAGTCCACAATCCCCTCTTCAATTACCATCTAAAATCTCCCTATAACTCCAAACGATTTGGTCGTAATAAACCCACAAAGTCGGCTACCCATTTGAGATGCTGATTTTGTGGGTTTATTTCGGTCGAATCTTTTGGAGTTTGAGAGAGATTTTGAATGGTAATTGAAGAGGAGATTGTAAGCTTTCTAATGGTATCAAAATTTGACGGTCTTGGTGGTCGGAAGTCGCCGCAAAAGTTGCTCAAAAAATTTGGGTAGATTTTCAGATTTTTTTGGCGACTTTTGGGACGATTTTCTAGTCAAATCCCTTGGAGTTACGGATAGATTTTGGGTCGCAATTGAAGTGAACATCGTGGCTTTCCGATGGTGATAAAATTCAGTGGTATTAATGGTCGGAAGTGGCCAAAAATGTGCCGCAAAAGTAGCCAAAAAATTGAAAAAGTGTTTTTAAACTCCAATGACCATTGCTGCAAGTTTTTAAATTTAAGTGTCCGTTTCTGAAAATTTTTAAACTTCAGTGACCGGTTCTGCGAGTTTTTAAACTTCGATGACCGTTTCGGAAGCGCCTCGAAACTTAAGTGACCATTACTAAAAGTTTTAAACTCCAGTGACCATTTTGTAATTTTCGTGCAAGTTCAGTGACCTTTTGTGAAACTAACCCGTTTGTAAATGTTTTATAAACTTTACCAAACGGAGAAAATATATTTCGCAGATGATTTTTTTGCTTTTTTTGTTTGTTTTTCCCCTTGTGTTATAATATAAACTTGCACATAACATGTGCTAAATGAAAATTTGACAAAAGAATTTCCCAATTTTAACATATTTTCTGCATTAATTGGGAATGAAACATCAATGCATTGTTGATTCAAACGTAAGCACGGTACTAAGTACCACTGCAATCGCATCAATTGTAATTAATTTAGAAAGATCTTTTAATCCTCGTGTTTTGACTGTTTTGAGAACACTTTCGTGAGAAGCTCGATATCCAATTTAATAATTAATTTTTACGTTTTTTATTGTTGATTAGTCACCGAATTTATACTAAAATTTCAATCAAATAAAGTGCCATATCAACAATCCTTCGAGGTTTAACGACCACGGAACACTATCGTAGTTTTAACTAACCGGGTTAGGATATATTTGGGATAATTTCTGCTTCGACTTTTACTTCTGATTCTTCTAAAAAGAGCTTTTTGAGAAAATCATATTGAATCATTTTATTTTATTATTATTATTATTATTATTATTATTATTATTATTATTTTTTGGGAAGTTCTTGTAATTTGATCTTCTAACAAGAAGAAATATTTCTTAAAAAATCATTTTGTACGCTAAAAAATAGCTTGTTATATTAAGCCCCTATTTGGTTCCCATTCTTTTCTCATTAAAATGAAAAATATGATCGTTATCTATCACATCAAACCACCAAATTTAAATTTCTATTTCCTGTGTAGAGTCCGTAATAAATATATTTTTCATTTTCATTCTTCTAAAAATGAGAAACAAATGGAGGCTAAAAGTAGCTTTTAATCTTTCAAAGTCTATCAAATAGGTTCTAAGTAAAATTAATCAATAATGCTATTGGAAGCTACGCATATCCATTTTAGCTGTCTATGTCACATTTTTCAATTGGAATGCATTTTAATTTATAGAAGAGTGGGGGTACAGTTCTACTCATTATGATAGAGAATAGAGAGGGAGAAAAAAGAAGAGGAAGATAAGAATTGCTCCAATTTCATTATCCAATCAATTTCTAGATTTCTATTCAAAAAAGCCCATTTGTCTATTTTCAGATTCTTCTTCTCTGATCAATTATTCTACCAGCCAACTTTCTCTTCAAAAATCCCCTTTTAGACTTTTGTTTGATTTTCCACAAACACAATCATTCCAAAAATTCTACTTCTTATTCCTTTTGAATAAAGTGCAGCTACTTTTTCACCTAATCCATTCAGCTTTTAATACAGTGACAAAACCATTATTGTCATGGATCTGGCTAGTCTGTGTTTTCTGTAAACTCTTGATCGCTACAGAAAAATGGCCTCTGAAAAACCCAGTTCCAAAGGCCAAGCATGGTAAGTTCAAATTTTGATCTTACAATTGTTGCATAGATTCGGAGATTTGTATGTTCACTTTCTATGATGAATTTTGATGGGCCTTTGATTCAGGTTTTGCACTACAAGTTTGCCGAGTGATGTTATAATCGAAGTTGATGGCATGACTTTTCATCTCCACAAGGTCAGTTTTTGTTTTGTATTGAATCTTTGAGAACGCCAATTTTCACTGTAACATTTTTTTCATGAATTTTCAGTTTCCTTTGATGACAAAAAGTAGAAAGCTTCACGAGCTGATAACAGGACAAGAGATGAACCCAAAAATCAGAAGCACTGGAATCCAAAACGCTTCTGTAAAAAAACAGAAAGATGGCCAGAAAGATACCCGAGAAGAAGAAGAAGATGATGACTATCACATCACACTCCCAGTGTTCCCGGGCGGCTCTGAATCCTTCGAAACCGCCGCAAAATTCTGTTACGGCCTAAAAATTGTTCTGTCAGCCTCCAATGCCGGCGCTCTTCGCTGCGCCGGAGAATACTTAGAAATGACAGAAGAGTATTCTGAGGACAACCTGATTTCCAAAACTGAGAGATTTCTTACTCAATTTGTGTTCAAAAACATCAAAAATTCTGTCATTACCTTAAAAACCTGTGAAAAGCTAATGCCTTTAGCTGTAAATCTTAGCATTGTCGAGAGATGCATTGATGCGATTTCTTCTAGAGCTGCATCCTCAGATACATCGCTATTCGGATGGCCTGTGAATGGTCGAATTGAAGAAAATCTGAAGAGTAGAAGTACCAGTGGAAAGGATTCTTGGTTCGATGAGCTCGGGCTATTGAGTTTACCCTTTTTCAAACGATTGATTTTTGTGATGAAATCTTCGAATTTGAACTCGGAAATCATTGATTCCTGTTTGATTTCCTACGCAAAGAAGTACATTCCTGGAATTTCACGTACAAACTGGAAGCCATCAGCATCTCCATCCAATGCTGTGTCCGAGGATGAGCAGAGGGAGATTCTGGAGACAATAATTTCCAATTTTCCATTACAGAAAAGCCCAACATCATCTTCAGCTACGACTCGATTTTTATTTAGATTACTACGAACTGTGAATATATTGAAGGCTTCAGATTCTTGTCGAACAGCATTGGAGAAGAAAATTGGATGGCAATTGGAAGAAGCAACTTTGGATGATCTTCTCATTCCAAGTTATTCATACTTAAATGAAACATTATATGATGTTGATTGTGTTGAGAGAATTTTAGGACACTTTCTACAAGGATTAGAAAAGAGATCCTTAAACAGAATTGAAGTGGAAGACGAGGATAGTAACTTTCGATCAGCAGCATTAATGCTGGTTGCTAAATTGATTGATGGGTACTTGTCAGAAATTGCTTCTGATGTCCATTTGCAGCCGGAAAAATTCTACCAGCTGGCTGTTTCCCTGCCGGAGCATGCCAGACTCTTCGACGATGGTCTTTATAGGGCCGTTGATGTTTACCTTAAGGTAAATTTGTTCATAAATTCACAAACGTAGTTTTCCTTTCAATAAAAGAACTTTTGCTGGAAGTAATCTTAAATTTTTTCTTTTTTGGAATAATATTTTAAAAGCTCTTCATATTCTTGAATTGAAGTGCTTTCAGAAGAAGTCACGTTATATCAACTTTTTTTAAAAGCTCTTCCAACTATTAGAAATACTTTCGTAAAATTGTCAAATAAGCCCAAAAATTGCTTTTGAATTTTAAAGTTCATTTTGACTTTTCAAAAATCATGTCAAACAGACCCTAATACTATTCATCCATCATCACAAGGAACTGGCAGAGTTGGGTTTTACCTTGCCTGGCAATCTAGTACATTTTGACTAAACATGCATCCTTTGTGAATTTGCTCGAAACTGTTATCTTAAGAATTTGTCTTAGATTTCCATATATGGGTGCAATTATGCAGGCGCATCCATTGACAATGGAGACAGAAAGGGAAAAAATATGTGGAATTTTGGATTGCCGGAAGCTGACATTAGAGGCATGCACTCATGCCGCCCAAAACGAGCGGCTGCCGCTTAGAGCAGTGGTTCAGGTACTCTTTTTTGAGCAGCTTCAGCTGCGGCATGCCATCGCCGGCACTCATCTAGCTGCTGAAGCCGGTCCTATGGGAGGAGGAGAGGACGACGACGAGTTGATTGCAGTGGACCATGAGCAGGAGGGGAGCAGCAGGCCGTGGAGAGCGGTGGTGCGGGAGAATCAGGAGCTGAAGCAGGACATGGATAGCATGAGGACGCGAGTGCACCAACTGGAGAGAGAGTGCTCCGCCATGAGAAAGGCAATTGATAAGATGGGTCCGCCTGCGACGTTGGAGAGAGACGGGCGGAGGACGTCGCTGAAGAAAATATTTGGGTGTAAATTCAACAGTCAAGTATGCTATTCCCATGAGCCGGCGGCGGCGGAGGGCAGAGAAGGCCGTAGTCACCGCCGTGATAAATAATCCAAACCAAATTAATTTGGTTGCTATTGTTACATCTATTTTGGTTGTCGTTAAGACACTTGTGAAATAATTAATGTAGCGTCATTTATGGGAATATATTAATTATGAATTTTTAATTGAAACATGCTTGTGTGTATTAATTGAGGCATTTTAAAATCTGAAAAAGCCACATTAAAAAAGCCTCCGAGAAATAAAACGAGCATCTTATACCCAAAAAAAAAAAAAAAAATTATTTTGATTCTTTATTTTAATTTTTTTCAAAAAATATTTATTATTTAATCAATTTAATTAATGTATTTTAAAATGTTGTCAATCAGATCAAAAATTATTTAAATAATTTAATGTGGAGCATTGATATATGCACATTAGTAAATGCAGTCTTTATAAACTAAAAATAGATAATGAATATTTTAAAAATTAAATAGACTTTTAAAGACTATTTTTAAACAGTGTCTTCTAGAATAGGAACATCCTCTATTTAAAAAGTCTATAGAAAATGATCTAATATATATTGAAAATAACAATATTACACGTACCGAATTTTTTTATCGAATCTATTATCTGCTACTCACAACAAGTGTGGAGACCATAGGCCGACATTTTTAAACTCACTTAGAGCCCGCTATACATTGTGAGAGGGGGAACACCATTCGGCGTTCGCATCATGAACAAATGGAGTTTTCCATATTGAAAATCTGCATCTCGCTCTAGTAAATCATACATTATAAACAATTTACTTTATCAACAGATAGAAATCAGCAATGAATAAGTGGATTATTTATAATAATATTAACTAACACCTGTAATTTTGAACACCAATTTAGGTATCAGCATATTAAATTGGGTTTAGAATAGGAACATCCTCTATTTAAAAAGTCTATAGAAAATGATCTAATATATATTGAAAAGAACAATACTATACGTATCGATTTTTTTTTTTATCGAATCTATTATCTACTACTCACAACAGGTGTGGAGACCATGGGCCGACATTTTTAAATTCACTTGAAGCCCGCTATACATTATGAGAGGGGGGGACACCATTCGATATCCCCATCATGAACAAATGGAATTTTCCATATTGAAAATCTGCATCTTGCTCTAATAAATCATACATTATAAACAATCTACTTTATCAATATATAGAAATCAGTAATGAATAAGTGGATTATTTATAATAATATTAACTAACACCTGTAATTTTGAACACCAATTTAGGTATCAGCATATTAAATTGGTCAAATTTCTTATATTTAATTGACCATGTAATTCAAATTTACTAATGCTATCATCTAAATTGGTATTAAACATCAGTGATATTAAATAACATTATTCTAATAATTATAGCTCCATTAAAATGTCTGATTGAAAATGAAGTTTGATAATTTATAAATTTTGTCAACTGAATACTAAGAAATTGGGAATTTTGTAAATTTCATCCCACACTCGTAACTGATTTAATAACACCACCACTAGGCCTCTCTTTGGGAAATAATTTTAGGAAGTTAAAAGTTACGTCTAATATTCGGTCAAGCTTTAATTTCAATTATACATTTAAAATTAAAACTCATTTTATTCCCATATTTCATGATTCCAATACTATTCTTCATAGGAAGAAGCTGTGTGTACAGTCCCCTCACTGTGTTATGGGGCTCACGCCATTAAAAAATGATGCGTCCCGCTCGATGTGAGGGGCCTGTATGTCGAGCTGTACACACAGCACGGCTCTTCTTCATAAATGATAGCAAGCCTACACCTATCTAACTAGAATTGTATCCAACTAGAATATGCCAACTAAATGGTAGCATTCATGTCATCCGCTAGACTTGAACTCGGTGGTCGTCAGATTTATTGGAATTTATTGGGGTTTATGGTCGAGCCATGCGAAGAAACGCAATTAATGTGTCAGAGTACAGCTTGACCAAAGTCTTGGTGGTTTTTATATTTAATTAATTACAATATAAAATTAGTTTCTCTTTGAAGATTAATACCTGGTTTGAGCTTTATTTTGGGGGAAAATTTATTATTGAATAACGATTTTTTTTAGAATGTGTGATTAAAAAAAAATGAATTTACGTGTAAAATTATATTATTGAAAAATGTGTGATTGAAAATTAGTTTTGAACAAGAGCTAAATTAGAATAGACTATATATCTTAGATCTCCTTTAAGGTTAATAAATTTTATTTTTAAATCTGTAGACATAGGTGATATCATATTATTAGACGAGCTTTTAATGGCCTTTACACTTCCTAGCTCCCTTACATCTTCACTTTTGTTCTCCTTTTAGTTCCTCTCTTTTGAAAAATAAAAGAATGTGGCTAATCATAATATTTTTTCAAAAATATGCCCATAAAGGACATATTTATAATAATCAGTTAGGATTTTATAATTGTATAATTACCTATTGTAGTTGGTTAATTAAGTCTCATGCTTATATTAGAGCCAAGAAAGGGACCCAACTCAACTCACAAAATTCGAGCTTCAATAATTGTTTCTAATTGGGTCAACTATTGACCAATTAAAATATATCTATTACTCTTAGCTCACTCCACCAAAGAGTCGCAACGGTGCTCTCGAGTTGAATATTTATAGAAACAGATCATGATCCAATATCAATATCCTTCAATCATCATTCCACGAGTCAACCCCCATTTAATCGTAATTATGTCAAAACTGGCAAAATGAGCATTTTGCCCATCTAATATGTATAGTCTTCCGAATCTCATTTTCATAAGGCAAATTTGATGTGAATAAATCACAAAAAGGAATCCAACAATTCCATCTTTAGACTACTGAGCTTAGATTCAAATGTCTACAGAGAATGTCTTTGAGTGACAATCGTCTCATCGTAATGATTAACGAATTTCTCTATTTCAAGTACATAATCTTTACCTGTTTCGCCCCGATTCTCAAAGTGCCGAGATTGATCTTCCAATTATAACTTTACTCATTGGCATCTCAAAAAACTTAAACTAACAATAAAGGTAATTACTCGTCCAATGATCGTGCAAAGTTTGATTTCTAGCATTCACAAATGAGTCATCTATGCGGTCTTGTTCAATATGCACCAAATACATCATTGTTCTTATTCTAAAGATCGAGAAAAATCTTAATAAATACAATGCAATCTTATCAACATAAAACATCCAACTCTACGTGTACCGATCACAAACGATATATTTTGATCACACCAAAACTATGTCTCACTATATTCGAACCATCAAGTATACAACTTGTATGATTATGGAACTTTAGATTATTATTGCAAATTGTCGAATCATAACTCATAATATCGTTTATAAAAATACTACTCGAAGGGTATCAAAATAACAACTATGTGAGTCGCACATACTCTATTCACACTGCATTAATAAACATTTTATGAATAGAATTGTTCGTTGGTAAAAGCGATTGCATTAAATTTGACTTGGACAAAATTTTGCATCCAGTCATGTTGTGAATCTGGGTCGAATGTGAATTCACATTTGTGCAGTTTTTTCATATTAAGGGATTTAGTCAAAAAGAGTAAAGGAAAGGAATAAATTTGATTGCATAATTTCTATGATTGACAGTTGCATGTCAAAAAGAATAATTCAATCTCACTTTCACATTTTCATTAACAATTAATTTGTGATAAGATGTTGACTCTGATTGAGGTGGACAATTAAAGAATGGTTTGGCAAATCAAAATTAAAGGTTAAATTTTGATTATGGTTGGTATTCCACTATCTTGATTCTTATCGGATGCAGTTGACCAACGAATAATTTAGTAAATCTCATTGTTAAATTTTACGAAAATCGATAGATATCTTGATAAAAGTTGTTTAGATCGTTGAGCATGCATGATTGGACTAATTCACCTAGCTCGTGTGTTTGTTAGTAAAATTAGAAACATAATTATTCTCAAAGATTTAGTATTGCTATATATATATATATATATATATATATATATATATATATAGAGTAGCCTATTATTGTTGCACGAGGATTAATCTTGTAATATTTTAAGAGAATGATATTCGACTTGATCGACGTACCAAATATGTATCTATGAAACTACAATCAAGTTAGATACTATATTGCGGAAGTGGGTATTAAAAATTGTAAGATAAAATACTAAAATTTAATATGTTTTGAATTGTAAGTATGATGAATCGTTCTTCATCAAATCTTTTAATTAATTGTTACATCTATGAAAAATTAATGATTCTACTTGCAATCAAGGGACGAAAGAACACAATATTTTTAAGAATTTTGAATAATCTATTTCTGATTTTTTATCTCAATATTGTAAAACAATATAAATGCATTTTGTTAGTGAAAAGAACGTGTTTGATGATGCTTAAAGACATAAATCAAGAAAATTTTATTTGCAAATAAATTTGGATAAATTAAAATTTATTTTTAATTTTTAACACTGACGGATAAAAAGTTACTCATACCTTTATTTTCCAAGACAATTCAAATCATGCAGACCGTATATATCGAGTCATTAAGTGGCATATTAGTCATTTAAACAATTTTCAAACGGACGAAACCCTGACCGTAGCTAAAACACAAGGAGGATGCAATTAGAGATAATTGCAGCAGCGATCCCAAACCTATTACTTTTTTGTAAACTTTATTTTAACCTTCATTTTATGTTACCACCAGTCTCAAACTTTTCAAAAATTAGCACGTGATGACCATTAGTTGACCAAATAAATTGATTTTGACCGATTTTAAAATGAGTAAAATGATAACTTTGAATTAAAATTAAAAAACTAAAAATCGAAACCCTATTCATCTTCTTCCACCATATCTGCTGCTGTCCTCCACAGACTTTGCTAGCTTTCCCACTTACATCTCCTCCCTAATTCTTCCCTCCTCTTCCTCACACACCAATAAACCCATTTCTCATAAACTCATCGTCGTCAACATTTGTGTCGTCCTCTTCTTAGCCGCCCTCTTCGCCACTTTCCATCTCTTCTTCCTCCGATGTCATCACCTTCATCTGGTCCCTCACAACACGACCCCTCTGACACCATCTCCACTCGTCCTCTTAGACTTCATTGCTGATACCACCTACATAGAAGGAAAGAACCCAATGGCGCACAATATTTGCAATTACTTTTTTAGCAGA